TTTATTATTATAAGGACATGTGCTGGAAGATACTAGTACTGTGTAAATTGGTTATCTATTAGAAGATGCTAGATTCAAGCATTTGGTTTTTCAGTAAGTGATACAGAGCTATTGAAATGTTTAGATAAACAATTTAAAGACAAAGACTTCAGGAGGGATGCTGAAAACTATAAGTGAAGAGAAAATTGTGAAGTTACTTGGTGAACCAAGGTATCTTCTAAAGACCACTGCTATAGTAGAAGAAAGAACTATAAACAACTACAAGCCAATAGCACTAACTACAAGTGGCTTTCAGAAGTGTCCCGTGGATTCATGACATGCACTGATTTAGTGTGATGGATTAAAGTCCCAATATACAACCAGCTTATGGACAGGTAAGGCAGCCATCAAAACTAAAGTAATATGTTTAAATATAAAATGTTCATTATGTACCTAAAAAAAAAAATCCTACAAAAGTTTTAGATCAGTGAGAACTGTGTCATGGCCAAATTTCAGGAAATTCTCATGGTCTCCATCTTATATTCTTTTGCTGTGGGATTAGTATCCCAAAGTATAGTGACCTGAGTAAGTGAATAAATAACCAGGAAAAATAGCATTTCAAATTATTTAGGCTTATAGATTTGTTCATGTTTTTCCCTATCAATAACTTATCCCTATCATGAACAGCTTTATTCATGTTTTTTCCCTATCAGTAACATTTGCTTAAAAGGTAAACATTAGCAGTGCACATTTTCATGCAGGGGGAAAAAATGTATATTCTGAATAAGGTCTTACAAAAAAGGATAGACATCAATTTTCCTTGAGTCAACAGCCCCCAATTTACCAGAGATTCTTAGACATTTGTGCTGTTTCTCTTCCAAAATATTCCGAACTTGGCAATTTAAGGCATTTTTTTCCAGAAACAAGAAGTAAATGCCAGTTTCTGGCAAAAATGTAATTTCAGTTATGTGGCTGTAAATGTTAGCTGGCAGCTAAGCATCCAAATAAGGTCATATGATGCGGGGGGACATCAGAATTTTGAATCCAGGTTGTAAATAACTTTTGATGGGTCTATCATAACTTTGAACAATTGCTAAGTAACCAGTCAGAAATTGAAGGCTACCTGTATAAAAGAGCAGACATATATTGTAATTCTACATATCAGCCAGGAGTAGTCTAATTACACTTGGGATTAAGCAGAATGTAATGTATTAACTCCAACTTGAGCTATATTTCAAATTTAACGTAATTATTAATTCCACAGCATTTTGGTACTTTAGATGTATATTTCTTTTAATACATGTTGTGAGTCCTGTGCATTTAATAAAAAGTTTTAATGGAGAAACAAACCAAAAATTGTACCTGCACACATTGGTTATTGCTATCTGCAATTAATATTTTTCCATTTGTAGATGCAGCTACTCCCTGAAGGTTTGTAAATTCCCCTTTGTTTCTCCCTTTGGTACCTAAAACAAAACAAAATAGAAATGTTGCCAAGTGAGACAGTTGTTAAGTGAACTTTACTCTATTTTATGATCTTTCTTGCAACAGTTGTTAAATGAATCACTGCAGTTGTTAAGTTAATAACACGGTTAAGTGAATCTGACTTTGTCAGAAGATTGCAAAAGGTGATCACATGACCCGGGACACTGCAACCATCATAAATATGAGTCAGTTGCCAAGCGTCTGAATTTTGATCACATGACCACGGGGATGTGTGAAAAATTGTCGTAAGTCATGTAAATCACTTACGTGTAATAATGTGGTAAGTAATGTATATTCAAAGCCTTTTTCAGTGCCAATGTAACTTCGAATGGTCACTAAATGAACTGTTGTAAGTTGAGGTCTACCTGTACCACATCAGAGCCTCTAATGTCATTCCATCTCTAATATTTTCTCTACTGCAACAACTAAGTTTCTATGTATTTGTGTGCATTTGCAAGATCTGGAAAAAACATCCTGGAAGGCTGTTACAATGGGAATATAAATTTAAATAATAAATAATAAATAATAAATAAATAAATAATAATAATAATAATAATAATAATAATAATAATAATAATAATAATAATAATAATAATAATAATAATAGTTATATGAGGGAAAAGTCATTATAAAAAAATGTAAAAAAAATGCAGGTGGTCCTAGCTTAACAACTCCTTGTTCAGCAAACATTCAAACTTACAAAGGTGCTGAATGAATGGTACTTATAGCCATACAGTGATGTGCAGTCATGTGATTATGGTCTGGGCGCATTGCAGGGTTCTGTGATCACATGATTATAATTTGCAATCTTCTTTGCTGGCCTGCTGCACGCAAAGTCAATGGGGGAGCTGGCAGGAAATTGCAAATATTGATCACATCATGTCCGCCTTTAATGACCAGTGGTTATTCACTTAACAGAAACAAGAATTGTCAGAATTTCTATCACTAAGTGGCACAGTCATGTGACATTGTGCTTTACAACTATATAACTTAGTGATGGAAATTCTGGTCCCAGCTGCCATTGTTAAGTGAGGACAATCTATACCAGGGATAGGGAACCTTGGCTCTTTTATGACTCGTGGACTTCAACTCCCATAATTCCTGAGTCAGTATGGCTGGTTCAGGAATTCTGGGTATTGAAGTCCACAAGTCATAAAAGAGCCAAGGTTCCCTACCCCGATCTATACTGAAATCTCCCCAAGGCTTCCCAAATGCCATACTATTATCCCTTTCTTTCATTAAAAACGCGTCTTTCTGAAGTTGCAATGATAGCTTGTTGGCAATTCTACAACTAACTGCTCTTTTCATGGTTGCTACATAGGCTGGTTGTTAAGGGCAAAGCACACATATTAAGTAATGTATATTTAAAGAGATACGTAAATTTCAGGAATAGGATGCTAAAATTATTTTATTAAAAGTTATATGTAAAACTATATAACAGTTTGCTTGAGCTCAAAACAAAAAGTGGTAAGGCAAGAATTTTTGCCAAAGGATTTGTGGATCACCTAAAAGGCCTGGAAAACTGCAGTAAAGGAAATACAAACATTGTTGTAATTTCACTAAATTTGAGCAGCAACTGAAATGCATTGATCTAACTTCAGGAACAAATTATATCATGAGAGGAATCATACTCAGAATTAATCATTAACTGATGCAAAACACTTATGTGGAACTTCCCAAGAGAAATGAAAGGAGAAGGGGCATTGTCTTATCTGAATGCCTTTTCTCAGCATGATGATGGAGAATCCATAGATGGGTTGATCTTGCCTTTCTGCCCTAGAGACTAAGTCAATCAACCTTTGCCACGCCTCTCTTCCTCTGGCTAGGAATCCCCAGTCACAACGAAGGCGCAGCAGTTGATGATTTTACAAGGTGGTGGCTCAAATTCCCCTGACACAGGACAGGATGGATCCAAGGGGGGGGGAGTGGATTCTCCATCGTCATGCTGAGAAATGCTGACTGAATTCTGCCAAAATTGATTCTGAGTCTAAACAGCCCTCGCTGGAAGGGAGCCCCCCCCCACTCAGGAACAATAAAAGCGGCACTCAAAATGGCAACCGCTATACTTCTGCCCTGCCTGGAAGCTATAATTAGCTCGAGGCTTCAGCCGAAGCCTACAAAACCGCTCTGACACTCAGCGGTTTGAAAATCAGCGCTATCAGCGCAGAGAAGGGAAGGGAAGGGTACAACCTGAGAAAATCCACAGTTTTGTCTTTCTGCTAGAAACAAGAGCCAATCTTCACCATGTCTCTCTTGGGCTAAGACTAAGTCGTGACTGGGGATTCCTAGCTGGAGGAAGAGAGGTGTGGCAAAGGTTGATTGACTTAGTCTCTAGGGCAGAAAGGCAAGATCAACCCATCTGTGGATTCTCCATTTGTCATGCTGGAGAAAGACTATTTACAATGGACAACTAGCAAGAAAATCCTTGTAACAAGACAAAGTCCTTACAAGTCTAAAATAATAATATGAACACTGTTTGCAGCTATAAGCAGCAGCAGTCTATGAAAATTTAAAATAGAGGCACTCCTTACCTACTCGGAAGATTAGATCATCTTCAATGGGGTTCTCTTTCCTTTTGCCAGTGCTGTACATACTAGCTGGTCTCTTTACAGCTTTCTGTTTCACATGGCCGCTGCCAGGAGACTTAACACGTCTCTTAACTCCTTCAGTAGTAGGAGATACATCTGCTGACCTAATTACTTTGAGTTTGAATGGGCTGCCTTTAATATGTTGCTCGTACAGTCTCAAAGACAGAATAAAATCCCCTTCTTTCTGGACAGTGTACAGAAATTCGTAAGTGCCATTCTTATTGTCCAGTATCTCTCCATCTGCCACACTTCCATCAGGTGTGCTCAGCTCAGCTGTGAGATAAGCATTTCCAGTTTTACAGAGCTCACCATCTTTGTCCTTGGTTGTGATGGTGACTGACATTGGCTGCCCTATCACAGTCTGCTTAAGTCCTTCACCTGTGGCCACTGTTTCAGAAGCCACTGCATTTGTGGTTAAAATAGTACCAAGATTATGAATGGATTTTTTCAGTCCTTCTGTTTCTACTATGAAATCCAGTTGATCATTTTCACGGGGCTGAAGAGGGAGTTCCTGGTCTGCCAGTTCATTTAGCTTGTCACTCATCTGCTTTTTGACAAGTAACACTTCTGTTTCAGTTCCATGACTGAGTGCTTGGGCGGTAAAATTGCTACAGCTCTTAATGTTTTCTTGTCCCTCCAATAAAGTATCAAGCTGATTCTGCAAGACCTTGATAAAAGCAAATACTATGGTTATTTCATTGAAGTTCCAAGTAATAAAACAAAAAGCACTTCTATCGGCAAGTTTTAATATCTCAGGGAAATATCTAATAGTGCAAAACTGAGTAAAATCACATCATATTTGTTTGAGTCAACATAAAAGCATACTGAATAACACTGCCACAAAATGTCTGTTAAAATAAAGAGTTCCCAAAAAATAGCAACCAACCAATTTGGAAACTTCTGATTAAACCATCTCCAATTACAGCTTCCTTCAACCTATATTAGAACAATGTTTCTGAAGCTGTTTATTTGTACAAGACACTAGATTTTACATAATAAAACAAACTGGAAAAATACAAATTTCACTGGTATTGCTATTTTATGACACATTTATATTTTCTATGGTTTCCTTCATTAAAGGAAATATGAATATCAGTCATTTTTCCTAACGATATAATACAGTCATTAAAAACTGAGAAATATTTTAATGATGAGAACAGAGCTCTTACTTTATGTTTAAGGCCATAATTCACTTCCAGTTCCATAAGCAACACGCTCTTGCGAACATTTAACGTCTTCTGGAGTTCATCAAAAGTGGAATGAATTTCATCTACAATGCTGGTCTTTTCGTTGGTCAGTTGATGGATAATTTCAGATATGAAGTGCAACGCAGTATCTATCTCTGGAAGCCTATTAAAAACAAGCAGTTAACATTTCAAATATCAATCCTACAATATCCCTTCAACATTCATAAGACATATCATTACACAATTATTAAACTTTGAATGATACTCAATCATAATGACCCTACACACATAGTGCCAAGCCATGGTTAAATGTTATGTTTGAATGCAATGTACAGGCAGTCCTCGACTTACAACAGTTCATTTAGTGACTGCTCAAAGTTACAATGGCACTGAAAAAAGTGAGTTATGACCATTTTTCACACTTATGACTTTGTAGCATCCCCATGTTCATGTAATCAAAATTCTGATGTTTGGCAACCGGTTGCATACTTATGACCATTGCTTTGTCCCAAGGTTATGTGATCATCTTTTGCAACCTTTTGACAAGCAAAATCAATGGGGAAGCCAGATTCACTTAACAGTTGTGTTACTAATTTATCAACTGCAGCGATTCATTTAACAATTGTGGCAAGAAAGGTTGTAAAATAGAGCAAAATTCACTTAACAAATGTCTCAACAACAGAAATTTTGGGCTCAGTTATGGTCATAAGTCGAGGACTACCTATGTTACAGATCTGACCTTTAGATGTTTACTTCTCCATTCTTTCTATTAAGAACTTTTAATCTTTTCCCATGAATAATATATAATAGTTTATCAATAAACAGATATAAATGTAGATTGGATGCTGACTTTTCTAATGTTAAAAGCTGTACACAAATATTCGCTGGATTTACAGATCATTCTAAAACAGAATGTGTTCGATTATATCTTAGTATTTTGTATGAACCCAATAAAACTATAAACATTCAGTAAACTGTAGCTTAGAGCAAAATGTGAAACATATACAAACTTAGTGATCTTCAGGGCTATGCTAATTTATATACACATGTGGTTTTTAAAATTTTGTTAGCATTATAATTTTCAGACAATACAAATATTGTCAATTGTAAAGGAATCTTGAACTATTTCACTTGCAATTGTAAGCTAGAATTCATTAAAATTTCCATTTAACTTAGAACAAGCAGCATCCTTGTGCTCAATACATAATTGATTCCACTTGTCTCTTCCTTTCAGCATGGGCATTAAACAAAAACAGACAGTTCTGCCTGTAACATATCATTTACAAGGAACTAAGAAATCTGGTTTGTCCTCCCATATCAAACCATCTGGGTTTGTTTAACTATTCTTACTAACAGGAACCCAATGGAATAATTATACAGCAAACAACAGCATGCTGCTCATTCCCAATGAGCCAAAATCCTGAAAAATTCTGGTCTATAATTACATCTAGAGGTGGTCAATAAATTTTACAATATGTTGGCTTGTTTATTGGTGGTCAATAAATTTTACAATATGTTGGCTTGTTTATTCTTCTGCATTTTTGCCACTAACTTTTAAATTTGGGGCCCAAAAAAACCACCTATCAGTTTTTCTTACATGGGCCCTGATAAATAGGATCAAAGGTTTGGTTCTTTTGTGCATTTTTCTACCTGTAAATTACTATTTCTGGACCAAGTCTTGCCTTCTTCCACCTAGTTTTAGAATACGCACCTTGAAGTTTGATACAACCCTTCAGTCAACTAAATTTATTCAATCCTATTTTAAACTGCAATTAGAAAATTTGGGTAGATGAGATAACAATAATTTAATTATTATAATTTAAATAATTTAAATTTAATTTAATTAAGATAATTTAAAAAAACCTTTAAAAAAACCTTAGCTTGACAATATCTGAATACTACCAATGTCTTCTAAGAATCTAAGCATTTACTTGACTATTCTCTAAACAAGGAAAAGAAGAATAAGTATAATAAATCCAGGCTGGTATTTTAAATTTTCAACAAAGAAAAAGATTATTATTGCACTTTATAAACATTCTAAATCTTTATGAAAGTGAAAAGACCAGGAAGTAAAAGGACTTGTACATTCTCTCAAGAAAGCACAAGTAACATTTTCAAATGGTCATAAATAATGTTCTGTTTTTATGTTTCAGAAAAGACATATCCAACATGATGCTCCTTAGATATGTGAGAGTCAAACTTTTAGAATTCCCAGACACATGCTCTGGAAAGTATAACCCTTACTCATCTGTAAGGTTCCAAGCTGGAGAAAATTAACATGCAATTCTATAACCAGGAAATGTTTCATAGTTTCACCTTTTGTTCACAGCATCTAACTGTGTTTGAAGAGAAGCCTTGTGTTGTTCTACTACATCCTTAAGAGGAACTGTTGGATGTTCTGCATGTTCTCCTACTGTACATTCCTGGCACATGGCTGTCTCACAGGATTGACAGTAAAACTCCATCAGCTGATTAAAAATAAAGAAACTTCTTCTTATTAGAATGCCAGTGTTCAGGTTTCTAATTCTTTAAATGATACATTTCAATGAAAATTTATTTTTATCAAAGACACGCAATATTTTTCTAGCAAAGGGCTGCATTTGAATTCTGAGGAAAGAATCATTCAGGAACACTCAAAAAAATGGAGCCTGAAAAAAAGTAAACCGAATTAGTTTTAATATTATATTTACAATTTAATTATGCAAATAAAATTCCCAGTGTGTGTAATCTTTTCTCCCTTCTGTTACACTGGGCAATATTTGGAACAGCTTTGATGTCCACAGCCAAAAGTGGATGGAGGAAACTACATGAGGTATACCCAGGTTGTATACTTTTGCTTTAATTTGATCATTAATCTTTACTGACTGTTTAGTTAAATCCAAAGTAATTCCCTTTTTTTCTTCTGAAGCAAGTAAAGCATCTTCTGGGGCAGTTTAATCATGTAATAGATTCTAGTCTATAGACCCTAACCCTAACCCTAGTTCTAAATATACTACATATTCAAAGCTTTCAAAAATAAAATTTTATTTTTCAATCATTTCCCACACTATACCCGTAAATACCCTATTACTGGGGTCCCCAATCTATGGGCCGGGCCATGGCCTCTTGGGCAGTGGGCTACAGAAATGGCTGGCCAGTGCACCCATGTGTGCGCACACACTCCTCCCACTTGCACTAGCACCCACGGCCCTGTTTGCACACACACGGGGTCGCTAGTGCAGGGCGGATGTGTGCGGCCCATTTGCGCATGTGCGAACGGGGCTGCTAGCACCGGGTGGGTGTGCACTGCCCGTTTGCGCCTGTGCAAATGGGCCACTAGTGCCACAGTGGTGCATGCGGCCCCGTTTGCGTACGTGTGTGTGCAGCAATTTGGAAGCTGCTCTCCTTTCCTCTGGGCCGTGAGCCTGGAAAGGTTGGAGATCTCTGCCCTATTAAGAGGAGTTTTTCCTCTGCCTTCAAGTTTGTCATGATTCTAATGACTGCCTGGAAAAATCTAGGCAATTTTACAGAAGTGGTTTGCCTTTGCCTCCTTCCTAGGCTAAAAGTCATCCAGCTAGCTCAGGCATGTTAAACTGTGGGCCCGTGGGCCGGATGCGTCACGCTGAAACGGCATCCACCCCATTGCGGGCAATGGGGAAAAGTCCCAATACATCGCATGACGTCATGTGACATTGCAAGTTTGACATCCCTGCGCTAGCTTTTCCAAATCAGGATTAAAATCCATGGTTTCCCAATTTTAGCTCAGGACCTTTAACATTACACCAAATTAGCTTTCACCACAGTGACTAAGGTCACTAAAACAATCACCTGCTATAAACATTCAATTTTATTACTACTGACATGGTCTTCTCTTGCACCTCTACTCCAATGTAAAGCTCAATGTGTTCATAGGCTTGTGCTTAGGTAAATATGAAGAGCATTAGAATTTTAGCTCACAGCTGTATACTTACTTACCTAAATTGTAAATTCCACTAAATACAATGGGGCATCATTGGGAGTCACCCAGAGTCCAGCATAAGACAGGCAGTTATTTAATTTTTTTTAATTATTATTATTATTTCAATATCATTTCAATATCATTTCAATAAATAATTCTTAGCTAGTATGCATAATAATATTTACATTTTATACTGGTAACATTTCTTTTACAAATTATATACACAAAATAAAAACAAAAACTAAAGTCAAAAATTATTTTATGTAAAACTAGACAACCCACAACCCATGGGGTCATTGTTTCAGATATATTTCCTTACTTAAACAAAGAAACACAATAACCATGGGGCGAGGGGGGAAAGCAGTGGGAGCAGGAATGAATTTCCTGCTGGCTTTCTTATTGATTTTCTTTGTAGGAAGCTGGCAGGAAGCACTGGAAATTGAATTGAATTGAATTTGGCCAAGTGTGATTGGACACACAAGGAATTTGTCTCCAGTGCAGAAGCTTTCAGTGTAGATGTAAAGTAACAGAATAATGACAATCATAATATCAATAAGAGTGGGGAACTAAAGAAGATAAAGGATTAATAATAATAATACAGACATACTACATGGGTCAATACACACAGACATTAGAGACAATCCTGGCTGACTGAAGCAGCCATAGTTTTACCAAATTTCAATCACATGGAGACGTGGATCCCAGATTTGGATACATTAATTAAGTTAGGGCAGTTGAGGTACATTAATTTAAAAAACGTTGCTCTATGGATGCATTGTTTCACCCAATTGAATATTACAAACAGACACAGGAATTTTAGTAGTATATGCCCCTTCTTCTTGTTCCACTAACCATTTCCAGCAGAGTTAGCATAATTATATAGAAATAGTTATGCATAATAACATCCAATAATATTGAAACTTATCCCATACTTACGTATACAGAAATACCATCTTAAGAGTTTCTTATTTAAAGCATAACAAATTACTCTTCAGTGAGTTATTTTCTCCATTCTTCAGTTTTAAATAAAACAGTTGTGTCTTGTGCTTTAGGAGTATTAAATTACTTCATAAATTCCTGAAGCATTACTGATACCTTTTGCAATACAAATCAGAATGGTATCAGCTTTGCATTAATGAGCCCCATATTTCTGGCACAAACACATTTAACACAAAGTAATATAAACTGCTTAGGTTGATGTTTTAAAGTTTATCAGATTCAGAATGCGTGCATTAGTTCTCACATTTCTCAGGCAAGAGCAGATTAAAATAAACTACACCAGTGGGAACGCCAATACAACCAAGATTTTCTCACAGTTCAATAGAAAAAGAAACAAGTATTTCATCTATCAAAATGATGTTTATTTCATTAATGTATTTCTGTTTAACTTCCTTAAAAAGAAAGAACTTCAATGAATAAAGGGGCTTTAAGTTTTTCATAAAATCATATCATATATAGAAAAAGGATTTTTTTAATATTGTGTTTCTTCTAAACGCCACAGAGAAGAACAATTCAGATGACACACTAATCCTTAAGATGGTTTGCAGCAAACGAGTAACATCTTGGAGCTTGCTAGTCCCTATGGTTAAATCAGCCCTCTCACAAAGGGCTGCACCTAGTGAAATTATATAGCAAATTCAATTGTTCAAAGAAGATGCTGGAAACCAATGCTTTGCAACATATTAGCTCCTGAATTTATTTTTTAAATATTAATAATCATATACATAATCAAATGAACAAAATTCCCAAGTTAAAGAATATACAAGTAGTCCTCGACTTACAAGTTCATTTAGTGACCGTTCAAAGTTACAACAGCACTGAAAAATGTGATTTATGAAAGTTTTTCATAGTTACAATCTTTGCAGCATCCCCATGTGATCAAAATTCAGATGCTAGGCAACTGGTTCATATTTATGACCTTTGCTGTGTCTCAGGATCATGTGATCACCTTTTGCAAGCTTCTGACAAGCAAAGCTAATGGGGAAATCAACTAGGTTACTAGTTAGTAACAACTAGGTTACTAACTTATCAACTGCAGCGATTCACTTAACAACTGTGGCAAGAAAAGTTGTAAAATGGGGCAGAACTCACTTAACAAATGTATCATTTAACAACATAAATTTTTGGTTCAATTGCGGTCGTAAGTTCAGGACTATTTGTAGTAGATACCAAGGAGGTTTCCATAGCACCTTGAAGCCCTTCATGTAGCATAAATATTAAATGAGATAGACTTTAGTCAATTGAGGCTGCCTCCAGTTTGTCCCACAATTTAGCTTGGGATATGGAATCAAATGTGTTGAAGTTAATGAAAGTAGCACAAAGGGAGGTAGTATCACGGGAGGAGTATTTTTCAATGAAATGATGGAAGTACTGGACACTGATCAATGGTAGATTGGCCTTCCCTAAAGCCAGTTTGCTCCTCTGCAAGTATGTTTTATTCTTACAGCCAGACCTGGAATTTACAGTAATGAAGTGTACATATTTTATACAGATCTGTAAATACATTATGAACAAGGATTATGCAGACCAAAAGTAGGAAAGTATTCCTAGAGATGAAGGAGACAGATTTGTCTTTCAATAAATACAGTATAAAAGAATTAATATAACACTCTCTCATGTGTGTGCACACAATTCCTCCAACTCAGTTCATTTAATATCTGTACCTATGAACTATATGGTCACAGTGGAAAATAAAATATTACCAAAATCAATTTTATATATAAAGCAGTAATTTTTCACTTTTAATCTCAGAGTTCAATTAATCCGATAGTAACCCTTGCCATTTCTTTTCAACAATAAACCTCACAGGAATCAAATCCACTTACATTTCCCTCATGATTGGGGCAGGAAAGTGGTTTCCCTGAAGCTACAGCTGTGACAGTCTCCAAGATGGCAGCCTCCTCAATACTGCTGTCTGGAGTTCGCTGCAGGACATCCATCAGGTTGGTGATGAAGAAATTGTTTTGCAGTGCAGAAACCCCTTTCTCTGGAAGAATAGATGTCTGGCGGCACACTGGGCAAGAAAGGGTTAAGCTATGAGCTGGAATGTAATTCTGTAAACACCTAATGAGAATAACAAAAAGTTGAATAATTGTTAGTATTGCTTCATATTCCCAATTTTCTAATTCATTTAAAAAAAAAGAGGTAAAACTCTTCACCATTTAAAATTTGTAGTCCCCTGACAATGTACACAGATAGTCTTCAACTTGTAACTATTTAATAACAGTTTAAAGTTATGAAAGGTTTGGGTAAAAGCTACAAACTGTACACATCTGACCATCACATTACTCTCATTGTCACATGATCACAATTTGGGTTTTTGGCAACTGGTTTATGACCTGTTGCAGCATCCTGCAGTCATTTGATCCAATTTATGGCCAAAAATGCCCACTGGTCAAGCTGGATTCGCTTAATGACTGTGTGACTCACTTAACAGCCATAATGATTCACTCAGCTATCGTGGTAAAAATTGTTGTAAAACTGGCTCTGACTTGATTTACAACTGCAATGATGGAAATTCTGGTCTGTCATAAGCTGAGGACTACCTGTAATGAAATACTGCAGACCTTAAAAAGGTGAAACAGAAGGAAGGTGTCTTTGAAGGAATCAAAGAAAATAATATTTCATATACTCAGATTTACTACACCCCAAAGAAAGTCAAAACCACAGAGGTCAATACAGGCACTTACTACATAGCATCCTAAAAATCTAGCAACCCTGTAAAGTCTAAGAACTCATGTATCTTGCAATATACAAGAACTTGTATTAAAATTTTATGATATTCTGGTGATTTTGTGTGTGATAAATATTTGCTATAATAATCATATCCACACATGCATAATGTTTAAAAGATGAACATACTCCTTACTCCAAAGTGCCTTTGAGATGTCTCATAGTTTCCAGCCAGCATGCCAACCACCTGCATAGCATCAGATTGAGAGAAGCTGCCTTAGAGCCTAAAGCACATTCATCTTTTTGCACTGCTTCCCTACACCCTGGGTCACAAAGAGGCTTAAATCCTCTTCCCACAGGTAAAAATCAACCTTGGTACAGCTTTCAGCTAAAGATAAAGCTAAACTAAATCTGCCCGTAATAGCCTAAAGCAGGGGTGTCAAACTCACAACGTCACGTGACGTGCCGCAACATGTCGCAACTTTTTTGCCATTGCCGGCAATGGGGTGGGCGCGATTTTGCTATGATGCATCCGACCCACGGGCTGGCAGTTTGACACCCCTGGCCTAAGGCATTCAGCTAGAGCTGAATGGATTTCATATAATACAACACAATCTTAAGAGACTGTTTTAAATATTATAGGAAGAAAAATTATGTTGTGGACATATGACAGGTATTCATTTTTTAAAAACTGCAAATGCCATCAAACCTTGTAAATGATGAAACACACAAAGATTAGGAAATATTATTTCTACTTTCAGGTAGAATTACAATATTCTCACAACATTCTCAGTATATGATATGATTTAAATGTAGCTTTTATTTGTATGGAAATTAATGTAAGAAAAATACCATCCTTTACTTTTTCATTTAACATGGAAACGACAGCAGTACTGCCAGGGACATAAAGCAGCACTGACAGTAAACTAAGTTTTTAAGTGCAGAACAGTTGCCAAGGCTTCAATTCTGAGTATCTGGAACAAACTTTACTATCAATGCAATTGACTTCCAAGATGGAATAGAACAGTCATTTTCTACTATTTCATTTAAGTAATTATAATTTATTTCATGTCAATAAACTGATTATGGTCAAGGCATCATGAAAATACATCAAAAAAGGGAATGATAAAGTTAAAAAGAGCCAAGGAGTATTTATTCTTTTATTTATTATTATTTTTTGTAATTTTAAGAAAACCTTTCTACCTCACTGACAATTTACTATTACTATATTAAAGGTAAGCCTAAACCCCTGGGAGAAGTCATTGACATGACAATCCAGGCAGATTCAATGGATTGACTTAGACACTAAAAAACACTTACCTCTCACAAAAGGTATGCAGGCATGGGAGCACTTTGGGATTCTTGTAACGGTCCAAGCATATGCTGCAGATCAGAAACTGTTTGTCAATCTGACGCACGACAGGGCTTGGGATATTGGAGCCTTCACTGGCCATCCTAGATTACTGACATATGGATCTTGCTCTTTTTCACCCTGCACACTGCTGAAAGTTTTTTTAAAAAATGACAAGGTATTTAAAATTAAAGAAATACGTAATTCCTACTAACAATGAACTTTGATGCTCTTTATCCTGACTGAATAATTATTTACTGCAACATGAAGCACTTTTTGCCCTTAGAAATAAGGCAGCACACTATTGTATTATTTTTTTAAATCAAAAATCTGGGCAGCTGCTAATAACTGCATTACATTAAAGACTATCTCAGAGTAGTCTGTATAAAGAGAAACAATCTGAAAGAATTTTCTCTCCAGAAACTAATAATATAAAAACTTTGTTGAAAAAATCAAAATGTAGAATACCTCAGCACCAGAAAAACTGCATGAAATAGCATATCAAAATAAAAGTGTAATCCATTCACTTAAATAAAAGCTCAGCATCTATAATGGGAACTATCAGCAACAACACTATAAAGGAGTTATGGCAAGATTTGAAGGAGTACCGAGGAGAGCCAAGTGATTCTTTGAGAATAGCTGCTTTAAGAAGTTACTGGCAGATGTTATATAAATCCTCCTGCTAGTTTTAGTTTGCAAAATGCTGCACAGACTTACCTTCCTGGCTCTACCTAGCACAGTGATGGCGAACCCTTTAGAGACCGAGTGCCCAAACTGCAACCCAAAACCCACTTATTGCCGGGTGCCAGGTGGGTCTGGCGCACTGGGTGGACGTGGCTCTAGTATTTGAGTACCACCAGTCGTCTAGCAAGGTGTCAAAAACTTGACCAAAAAAAAGGAATAAAGTGATAAAGTACAGGTAGTCCTCAACTTACAACAATTCACTTAGTGACTGTTCGAAGTTACAACAGCACTGAAAAAGTGACTAATGATCATTTTTCACACTTATGACTGTTGCAGCATCCCCAGGGTCATGTGATTTACATTCGGATGCTTGGCAACTGATTCATACTTATGACGGTCAGTGTCCCAGGGTCATGTGATCACCTTTTGCAACTTTTTGATAAGTGAAGTCAATGGCCGTGGGGACATGGGCAGCTCAACGTCACTCAGGTTGCGGGGAGCCTCTGGAGGGTGCGGGCAGGGCTGTGGGGGGATCCATGGATCTCTGCTGGAGGGGGTGGGACTGCGGTGGGTGCCTTCCCTCCCTCCCACTGTCCATTCCTTCCTTCCTTCCTTCTTTCCTTCCTTCCTTCCCTCCCTCCTTCCCATTGCCCGTTCCTTCCTTCCTTCCCTCTCATTGTCCCTCCCTCCCTCCCTTTCATTGTCCCTTCCTTCCTTCTTCCCTCCCTCCCTCTGTGCCCAGGAAGGGACAAGAGGAGGGAGACAGGCTTCCAGCGTGGCTGGCGGCTGTGCTGCCGGTGGTCATGGCTTGAAAGGCCACTGTAAATTGCTGGACAAGAGCCACACAGCCATGAGAGCAGAGTGGCGGGAAGATATTTGTAATGAGGGAGGGAGAAAAAAAGGCATCCCCTGAAGGAAATCAGCAGATTTTCTCCAAGCGCTTTCTCCTTCATTCCTTCACCCTTCTCTCACATTTTCTCCAAGCGCTTTCTGCTTCGCTCATTCAGATGTGTTTAGCCTAGTTTTTTTCAATGCTGTTAAATCTTACTAATCTTAATTCTGATTTTAATTTTGATTTTATTCTAATACTTAGCATCTTTTGAATAACTGTAAATAAGTAGTAATCATACATGCAGAAATATAAACTTAGTAACAAAAATATATACATTTGTTGTCCTAAGTTACTATGTTTAATGGAAGAGGAACTGTTGATGTACTAAATGTTCTTTCATTTAGCATAACTTTTTTAAAATTGGTCCTATTCTAGTATAGGCTCAAACAATATACAATGCCCTATATTGTTTTAACTTAGCCACAATCACCAATTTGGGAGTGAATAGATCATTTTTCAATTGTCCGTTTTGTTTTTAATTTGCTGTTGTTTACTTTGCCATATATTCTGTAATTGAATTGTCAGTCAAAGTACAATTTTAATATCAGAACACTGTTGAAAAAGAACAGGTTGCTAGAACAGGGTGTTTGGCACCTGGTAAATATACCTTTGTATTATTTATCTTAGATAAATATATGAATCCAGCATCGCTCCAGTATTCGGCATCCATCAACAATGGTGATGGAAATTGGAACATTGAGCAACACTAAGAAGAGGCGACACAGAATTTTCTAAAAGTAGGCTCCACCTGTGTTTTTCAATTATACTGGTTAGTTTAAAATAAAAGCCAACATATTTGTCTAAGACAGAATTCAAAAAGAGCAAATCCTAGCACAGAAATAACTACTAGTGGAAAACTTTATAACAGAATAAAATAGTATAACAAAGCCCTTTTTAGTATGAAAAAGGCAGAAAATGCAAGAATGATAGCAATTTTTGTTTTTGTAGTTTTTGTTTTAGGATTGCATGAAATAATTATGGAAAAAACTCCCTTGGGGAAAAAAATATCTTCCTCATTCTTTTTATGTTCACTGATACAGAATACAAAGAAACCACACTAAAAATATACCAAGGCTAGTTTTGGCTGAATAATTCAGTTATGGGGTAATATCATCTTTTTTCCCCCCTTCTGAATGAGTTTTTAATAAATATTGTTCCAAATAGAAGTTTACAGATAGTCCTCACTTAATGGTAATTGGGACCAGAGTTTTTGTCACTAAATGATGTGGCTGTAAAGTGCAATGCCATGTGAGAGCATCACTTAGCAAACAGTAGTCCTGGCAGTGCCCAATGATATTCTTAAGCAAGGTTCACTGGTCATTAAGTGAGGACCCACTCACAATGTCTGGCTGGCTTCCAACAACCATGTCAGTGAGGATGTTGGCAGGAAATTCAATTCCCAGACTGTTCACAAGCAGGCTAGAAGGCAGGTAAGTGGGTCCTGCTAGATGAGAGGCAAATGCAGTGGCATGCACAAACAATTTTGGGGCTGACAGTGGATGCTGCCAGATGGGGGGGAGGCTTACTAGAGTGAATTTTTACCTTACCTTATCTCATTCAGTGATGTCTCAACTTATGGTTACTCAATGAGTAGTCACTAAGTGGGGACTACCTGAATGCATGCCTTGCTGACTTCCCCATTGACTTTGCTTGTGGGAAGCAAGAGGGTAAAGTTGCAAATGGTGATCATATTAAATATGATTGTGATCATATGATCAGGGTGAAGTGATGGCTGAAACTTTGAGGACTAGTCCTAAGTACCACTCATTCAGTGATGTCACAACTTATGGTTACTGAATGAGTAGTCACTAAGTGGGGGCTACCTGAATGCATGCCTGGCTAGCAATAAGTAACTTTTACCCATGGCACTAAGCTAAAGTTATGTCTAAATGTGACCAATAACTGCATTCATTTAGTCCTTTAAATCTGATTGTAAGAATAAACCACGGTCCTCAGGCAATTATTTCTTGCTTAATATGTACACTTTAACATATTCTTTCATGTTAGAATCAAATCATACTTTATTTTGAATGGTTTAACTATAGTTTAAGATGTGATTAGAAGACTTGAATATAATTAATGTGTTTGAAAAAATAATTCGTTATCTCCACGATCTAAACACTTATGCCACAATGATTTCTTACTGAACTTATATTTTGTAAAAGTATACCTTTTAAGTTAATAATTATTTTTTATGTTTAAGGTACTATATTTTTCATTTTTGAATATCCAACAATTGCATGATCACATTGTAAATAATTCTGAAAATAATCTGTTTCTTACAAACAGGAGCAATTAAGCTCCTTTTACATTTTTTTAAAATAGAAAAAAATGAAACTTCACAATTTTATACACGTACTAGCTGCCCTTAAAAAGTTGTTAAACATATTGTTAACCTAATTCTGGAGTACAGCCTTCAAAATAATGTATTCTTTGATAAGGAACTAGCATTAGCATTAAAATCACTTCAGAAAATGACATCATGCTCTTGCTTTAAATGAATACTTTCTTATCAAAATAGCTTTTAATACATAGAAAGAATACATGTATAAAATGCTGGTGACTATGATGTAAGATCCATAAAAATATTGTTTTGTTAATAATCACAAAGAAAGAGTGTGTGGCCACACCCATCTGAAACAGAAGATACAATGAAGACCCAAGCAATTATTATTTATACATTTCAACAAAATGAATTTTATATGTTAGAATTACAATTCTATCAAGTGAAAAAAAAACCTATAAGGATAATAGCCAAGCTTGCTCAAACTGCACAGCATTTTCAAATAAAAACAGGGCTCCGCCCAACTACTGCTACCCTTAAGCTTTCAAAGAGAAAACTAAATCACGCATACAGATCAACGATTCACAAAACTCAGGTTCTAAACCACATATTATGCATGAATAGGTTTCCAGAAGCAACATTTACAACATAATTGTCAAATCTCTAGGCAAATACGAGATTTTTACAATATGAACACTGGTTCAAAAATCAGGCTATGTGGAATTCCACAAATTGAACACTACTACTTGAGAGAAAAAACTATCAAATCAATAGATTTCCTTTCCAGAACTATTATGAACCACGAGTAAAATATAAATTATTTCTCAGAAAACAGTTCTAAGCATCTTCAGACACAGGTGTTTCTTCCTTACAGATTTATTTTTCCTCATTGCTTTTACTCACTATAGCCCATTTTTGTTTAAAGAACACATAATTATAAATCATGCAGTATCATTTTTAAAGAGTAGGAATATATAAGAGGGACAAAAAGCATGCTAGCTGAATAACCATAAATGCTTAAGACATACCCATCTTCATGAAAAACTGAGCTTAATCAATGCAATACCAAGCAAGATATCTTTTCCAGGATGCAGTCGTCTCTTGCAGTTGTCCAAAAGAGCCAGTCATAATTATAGTAATATATTAGAGTTTAAAAGTCTCACGTTTGAAGCTGTTAGAAATTTGGTATGTTTGTGGTCATTACTGGAGATGCAGCATACTTCCTGCTTCAGATAACAATGCTCCATTCCAGGGAGAAAATTAATGAAAAAAGGAGGCCCAGTCAAGCTCT